ACTACAAACCTTCCTGTCTGGCCTTTTTCCTGCTGATCTTGAATCCCAGTTGGGTCTGCTTATCTATTCTCCCGGTGACAGAACCCGGCAGGCTTTTGGTTAGGAAGTTTAAGCATTGTTTTCTTGAGGTAAACGTGAACAAGGTAAAGGCAACCGACTATGCATAATTATATGATGTCATAACTAATCAATGAGGAAGTCACCGTCCCTGAACCACCAAGCTGTGCAGCATACGGTGGTGGACATCGTCAAAAATCGATGGCCGAGCTGTCATGTCACCAACTCTGCGTCTTACGTTGATAGAAGCCATTTTTACTTTTAACTAATCGAAATTTTCGGCAAAAGCTGTTTCAAATTCTATGCCCCACAAAATACATACGAAATCTCATATCAACATTAATTCTCGGAATAAATTTGATCAAGCCCAAGGCAACAAGAATTCGTACTTGCCGCAAATCTTTTATATGCCCCTAAGAACTTGCAGATTATTCGCATTTTGAGAATGACGTTGACAAAGAAGAAGGAAAGAATCCAGCTACTTGCACTGAAATAAAATAGCCTGGTTCTTGCACTTATGCATCTGTCCACGAGTAGAAGTTTAGCGTGTTCACTCGATTTAAACATTTTACTTGCCTTCTACCAATGCCATTCAAACCCGTACACAGTGGCTTTTACGTTTGTTTACGTCTGTATCGAGCCATTTTATTTCCTAAAAATTCAGGTCCTATCCATGTCCCTCTCAAGGTCGTGCTGTGCCTCGCCGCGGCATGTCGGTGCAAGCACACACTAAGTGATAGTCACGTACATAACTATTGTGGGACCGGTAATGTTGTCAGTCAATCTAAAAAAAACTTAATTATATGCATCCACTTGCGCCTGGAAAATCGGCGCCTATCCAGTCAAACGCAATCATCAGAAGCATGTGTAACGCTGAAATTTAAACGCTTCCAGAATTCGCACCTCGTGTCTCTATGGCTAAGATTTTCGTATTAGAGCGGGAATGTTTAGCAAATCCCACATGCTACCAAAGAGGCTTGGAGAGGAAGCACCCCACCACCCCCGGATGCTGATCCTTTCATTTTGGTTAACTTATGTTGCTGTTTTATCACGCATTATCTGTATAACCATTTTATGTGCAACCACGTATAGTAAGGTTAGTTTTTATAACTAAAACGCAAAGGCTCTTGTGGAGTATAATAGTTTATTCCGTAAAATTACAACTTTTAAAATCAGCAACGTTATAAGTGCAGAGAATTGAAAGGATTTTTCTACGCCAGTGTTCGTAGTGTTGTTTTAACTATATGTCTTCCATACTGTGCCTCCCAAATAATAACTACTTGGCGAAAAAATAACGCAGTATCACCATCAGAATCCTAAATCATACGTGAAAAAGCCCTCTATCTTCTCACCTTTCATCGTAATTTTGTTGCTGAGATTTAACTGTCTATGCGCCGGACTGTGAAAACCCGCGAACCGATACCCCGAGTTTAAGGCTTTGTTGATACTCCTACCTATGCTCGTTTATGAGTCCTTCGACAGCTACTGAACTGTCCAGGCTCGGCACCTCCAAGTATGCAGTTAACATTTGAAAGAAGACTAAATATACCGGTAAACATTACCGACAAAGACAAGGGATACTCGGACGGCAATTTCTGGCTTGTTAGCCATCACCAGCCAGTCCTACCCGGGGCTCGAACCCGTAACCTGGTCATCAGAAGCCCAACGTTTTAACCATTGAGCCACCGTAGCGGTTTCCTGCCAGTGTCGATCGGGAATATTAAAACAGCGGTGGATTGGAGCTTACCGATCGGGTACGGGACTCACTCACTCGATGACGTCTAATAAACCAGGAATGGCCATGCCAGTCCCCCTTGTCTTTTTCGGCCATTTTTATCTGACTAATTTACTATCCGCTGTGCGGAAAGTGAACTCCAAGGACGAGTTAGTTCCGTAACCGATCAGTGAGCGTCCATCTACCAACAGTAAATTGATCGCTATGGTTCCAAAGCCCCTGCATTACGAAAAATGCTACTGTTTGCTAGCAATCACTAAAGTAGCCAACCGTCCCATGTAGTTCGCAAATTAGGTAGGTCTCATCTATCCCTCCCCTTGTCTGTCTGTTATAACTGTGTTGTATAAACTCGTCCTCAACTGTGTTTTTTGAGGGGCTACAAATGAATAATAGATAGCATTTCCTGCTTTGAGATATTCCCGTTTCTAGTAGGACATTCAGACACTTATAAACATTTTTCTGTTCCTGAACCACGTCTTTTTCTTACCCAGAGACAATCGGTAGTATCTCCGCTGCTCAAGAAAAGCTCAATGGCATTTCAGGATTTCTCGCCGCGCATGGCAAGGCCTCAAGCTCCGAACCACCGGCACCCGTGGATCTGCCTCCTGTCTCCTTGTACGTTACATAATGTTGTTTTTTTTCTACTCAACAGCGGTGACTTAGCTGCGGTATCCAACTCGTCTGACATAAATCTAGGAAAACATGTTTGACTGTACGAAGAAATCTTGCCAAATAATAGGGGTAGCTAGGGTAATTGAAAATAACGGCAGTTATAGGGCGTTAGCTTTGTGAAACTTTTGTAATTTTCAGAGCCCCTTTTCGGACAAAAACTCGGAATTACTATTATTATCTTAGAAATGACGCGACTTACAAATCAGCAGAGAGACTATGGGTGAACTCTTACGTCTGTCTAGATAACCAAGGCCTGATTGCGAGTCACCTTTGTTCATTCTCATATGTAGTACATCCTGCAGGCCGATCTTGGCGCAGATTGGGTTGAAATTTGTTATTCAAACTATCATTTTCTGACAACATTAAAACTCGTAAACCAGCATATTCTTCGCCAGAGTTAGGATCTTCGCTCTTAACTGATGATCTCACTTCTACCTGACGAGTTTTGTCCGTCTTATGGCCTAATACCATGTTGACTTTCTTCAGTGAGTACTTCGCTTAGGCTTTGTATATCTGCCCCTATAAGTTACCATTTCTATAATCATCTGTCGACCCAGTCTTCTAAAAGCGGTGCTGTTTAAACAAAGATTTTCATCCTAAGATGCTCAGTCTAAAATACAGTTCTGCGAATCCTGCAAACAAAATTCAGGTCGAAATTTAACCGGGTAATTTAGC